TGTTTTATCCTTGGCTGAACTTCACTGTCACCGTGTTGTCCTGTCTTTAGCTGTACAAAACACACAGGAGCTTGAATACTGTAAAGGCTTTCTGCTGGCTGCTGTTAGGTGAGTGCTAAACTCTGCTGAAAATGGTACGTGTCACATCTCCACTCTCAGAGCATGTGTGTGTTTCTTCTCCACTGCGTTCTGTAAGAAGTAGGTCCTTGCCAGGCACAGAGCAGCACTACAGTGGTTGTCTTGTACTGCCAGAAGGACGTGGTCCTTTGTGGTGTATTCTGCTGCTCTGCTGAGAAGGTGGTATGGCGTGGGGAACAAAGAGATGTCACAGCTTACCAGAGTGTAGTCAGGAAACACCCATCATTGTTTGTAGGTGATGAAAATGTACCTCTGTTGGGAAACTGAATCTTTTTGTAATTGAATCCAAAATTAAGAAATCAGGCTGAGTTTTTGTGGGGAATGTGCATGTGCCAGATGATCGTCCTTTACTCACTGGCTTTCTGCAAGTATCTGGAGTTTACCAAAGTCATATCTTATTATTTCTCAGCTATTAATCAACGTTTATTGTAACTGGCTGAACTGAGGAGCAAGGGGCAAAGCGAATGACCCTTGTTAGTCAGGGCAGGTGGGTTGAAGTAGCTGGGTCACTTTTTATCCTTACCCTGCAAAAACCATTTGACAGCAGTCAACAGTCTTACTGATCTTCTTATGTCCCTGAAGGGAAACATCTTCCTCTTCCCATTACAGTTTTGAAGCCTTTATTGCAACTAATCCTACAGGCACCAGGTAAGAAAGTTTAATACCCATCAGATTACTTGCTGTGTAGCAACCTACAGTGTAGGAAGGCTTAGTTCACACATGTGAAGTATTACATCTATTAGGGCAATCTCCCCATCTCTTGCATGAGTACGTGTTGAGAATCCAGACATCCAGCAGAACTGGCAGTGACGACAGGAGCAGCTTGCTCTCGTCTCACGTAACTCTGGAACACTGTCCTCTCAGGCTGGTGGTGGAAGTGGAAGCAGTAGATTTCACCAGTGCCTGAATCTAGCCGTGTAGGCTCATGTCTCTGGGTATTTGTCAGTGTCCTGCTGCTCTCACACAGAATTGTTAGGTTTTGCTGCACTTGTCGGCAAGTAACTTTGTGGGAGTGGAGGTGGAAGAACTATGCTTCTGCTTTTGAAGGTCCCTAAGGCTGGCGGTCTCAGCCCAAGTGGCTTCACCAGCTCAGAGCTCAAGACAAGGGGTTAAGCTTACACGGCCTAAAAATGCTAAGCCTTGCTGGGGCAGGAGTGAAAAAACCAGGCTGCATTCAAAACGCTGCTTGCCACTCCCCAGGCAATTTGGGCCCGAGCGAGGGGAAGGTCACATAAGGTACTTGGCACATGCCAGGGAGTGCATATGGGGGAGGAAGCTTTGTTCTGCAGGCCGAGCCCTGCCTCGACAGCAGGTAGGAGCTGACCGGGCTGCCGCAAGGCTGCGGCCTGAGCTCTCCTCGGGCTTTGTCTGCCATGCAGATGAGATGGAGATCCTCCGGCTCAGCGCTGCTCAGCTTCCCCTTGTTGACTTGGTGGAGGGACTGAGGGGAGCGGGAGGGAGGGAGGGAGGGAGGGGCTTCATTATATTGTTTCTTTTCCTTTGAGTTGTTTTTTTCCCTCTCTATGGGGAGATGGGCTTGATCCACTGGTTTTGGATTTCTGAGGCAGAAGGCAAGGCATGACCAGCTGGTGTCTTGAAATGGCACAGGTGCAATGGCTGCGGGAGGGGGGAGCCAAGAATAATTACAGGTTTCTGAAGCATCAGGCTTTGCCTGAAAAGGGCTCATCGAGAAACTGCTCTTTATGGAAAATTAATGGTGAAGCTAAAAAAACTGTCAGGCCTACTATTGTTATCGCTGGGCTAGTGGCGCCTTAAAGGAGCAGCACCTTCTGCTTGCACCCATGGGCCCCAGAACCAACGTGCAGCTTTCTGGTCTTGGCAATTGAAGTCTCCTGCCACTGTTGTCACATTTAATGGCTTTTAGTCCCAGCCTCCTCCTTTTTTTTCCCCCACTTCTATCCCTAATTTCTGATTATGTTTTTATTTTACTTTGGAAGCCTTCTATTTATTAGGTCCCCGATCTATTTCTGCCCCACTGGATTAAGGCTAAGTGAGACAGAAAGCCCAAATTACATGATGTGGAGAGTTAAAAAGCATCACTTCTTTTGTTTTGTGTGTGGGATCAATCCTGGAGAACTGTGAGGTTCACTTGGAAAGCTACCCCCAAATCCCTTAATTCATCTATGGAGAGGTCAGATCCCCACCTATGGCCATTCTCCAGTCCCAGAACTGCATGTTAAGTAGGCTTTTTGTGTCCACAAGAGCAGCTCTCCATTGTTACTGTGAGCAGCCCCAGTATGGCTTCCCTCATTGCTGGTACCAAAGTGTCTGCTTTCCAGGGGGAGAAGAGTGAGCAGGGTCAGTAGGTGCTGGTGCCACAGGGACAGCATAGGGGCTGTCCTCAGGAATGAGATCAGATGGACCTTCGGAACAGGGCACTCCTGAGTGAAAGCTGAAAGCCTTCTCCCCTGCCCCTGTCCCTCAGGGGAAGTCCTTGGCCCCAAGTTAAGGTGTGTTCAAGGTGAAAAGGTTCAGCTGTCACACAAGGCAGCAAGGTTAGGTTGCAGCAGAAGCAGATGCTGTGACACCTCGCTGTGAAGCTTATTGCTGATTCCCATCATTTCCAACTTTCTGCTGTGCTCAGGAAGTAGGGTAGCCTCAGGGGCAGCCCAGCGGATGTACAGGGCCAAGTCACATTGTTGCAGCAGGAAATAGGAACCAATCCAAAAATCCAGCTGAAGGAGCAGTGGTGAGAGCAGAGCGCACAAATGAATGGTTTCTCGTGATGCTTGGAGCAAGGCTGTTGGAGAAATGAGCTGGCTGCCCCCAAAGGGAATCCCCTAAGTCCTGAATGTTGAGCTTGCACTGAGTTAGTTAGTGTCCATATCATTGTTCCTCAGTCTCATTCTGTTTAGGAGGTGGAGCAGCAGGCTTCTGATGATCTGGCTTCAGCTTTTGTCTGCTGTTGTCCATTGAAATCACTGCTGGAAGAAAAGAGGATAGGTGGTTGTTGCAGCCCGTTGGTTTCCTAGGGCAGTGCAGCAGTTTAGTGTTAACCCAGAGCAGAAGGCAGCAGAATGCCCAAGCTGTGGGCTGCAGGTCGCGGATGCCAGTTTTCAGGTAATTCTGGGAGGGCACACTGGTTGAACTTCTGCTTGCTGAGTGTCAGGAGCCCAAAAAGTTACCAACTTCATCTTCTAGGGATTTGGCAAAAACAGTTCTTCAGAGATCCCTTTTATGGTAGACAAAGAAGTGAGGCCCCCTGCTAAGTTTGAGCAACTTGATCATTTGGTGGTTTGCTTAAGGCAAGATTGCTGACTAGTAAGTCCAGACACATTGCATACACAGTCTCATGTGACTCCACTGAAGTACAGCACTTCTCGCTTGCATAAATGCCATTTTTTTTGGTTTTTGCCAAGTCCATCTCTACAGCTCAAATCTATGACCAGGTATATTAAATAATTAAATAGATAACTGTCTGACAGAATCTTTTTTTAAATTCAGAAACTCTGGATGTCATCTCACCAATTTGTATCTGCAAACAGTAGTGTTGCTTCCAGGCTACACTGAAAGTAATAATCCTGAGTTAGATGTTAGCTCCCAGGAAGCTGTGAATGGAGCCTTTTTGTGCTCCTATTGAGGTTTGTACTCAAAAGACAGGAGTCTCTGTCTCATCTCTAGTGGTAGGAAGCTTTTGTTTCTTAATCAGATGTTGGGCTTCCAGGTTGAGATGTAGTTGGACCATTAGCTCCATTAAGCTGCACTGAATATTTCTGCCTAAAAATCCCTTTCTTTATATCTTTAAAGTGTTCCCTCAGGAGTAGTTTTTAAAAGTTTCAAAAAAATATCTCTGTTGGTATGTATGTTATTTTAAGTCCTGTAAAATTTCAGTGAAGGTATTAAACCAACTATCCTTTCAGGCAGCAAGAAATGAAAAACAACACTAATAAACTCCATTAAAAGCTCCCAAAACTACAGATAACGGCTTTCTATAAATAATAAAAGTCTATAATGTTGGTTTTGGAGAACACTGGCAGCATGATGGTGCCTGGAGGCTTTATTGGTGCTATTGCTAGCTTAGGGCAGCTCATACAAGCTACATTCAAGTAGTAGGTTCACCCCATCCTCATGCTATAATCACTGCTACGGAGATGTAGGAACACATTTTTATGCGGCAGCATCTCTGCCTGCATCTTCACCTACTTTTCAAGATGCTGTGTGCATGTCCTTGTGTGTAAATGTGGTGTTCTGTATTCAGGAGGTCTCCTTGTTCAGATGTGACAAAAACCCTCTAAAAGAGGCGCTAGGTCCCCACTTTCTTGTCACATCTTCATCTTCTCTCAGCCCCTTCAAACAAGCTATGCTGTTACTGGGGGATTTTCTTTGTCTCCTCTTTCTATCTTAAAATGATTTACTTAAGATTTATGCCATTTTAGGAGAAGATTGGGCCTCAGCCAACAATGCAGAGTTAAGTTTGTAGTAAAACGTAATGTGTGTGAAGAAAGAGGAAGGAATTTGCTGGAGAGGTGACTTTTTGTGTGCACCAGGAGATTGGGCAGTTTGAATGTTTCATGTAGAGGTGATTGTTTGCCAGATTACATTTGAAATGCGGCTGTGTGCAGATTTCCATTAAAATTTAGTGGATGCTTTCCAGTTATTGCCTACATTACCATAATATCCTCTACCATACAGAGATATTCCCATGCCCTCTGTCCGAGCAGTTTCAAACAAGTACCAAATCCCCATGCCTCCCAAAATCAGCCGTCTTTTAAGGAGGGGCTGCTGCACATGAGTGCTGTCTCTAAATGGCTCTGGGCCATGCTGTTCCCCTGCCCTCGGTGGGAGCTGTGCTGTGATCTCTCTCTAATAGCAATTTCTTTCCCTGCCTTCCCCTCCTGCAGACATGCCTCGAGTTGGAGCGATACCTTCAGACTGAACCACGGAAGATCTCTGAGAGCTTTGGTGAGGACTTGGACTGCTTCCTTCATGCCTCCTCAGCTCCAGATGCAGAGGACAGTATCCGACGGCTGGATCCCATTCTTTTGCCGGTGGAGACAAGTATGTGTGACAAAAGCGCCAACATGGACATTATCCTCTCACGGGACAAGCTGCTGTCTGAGACGTGCCTCAGCTTGCAGCCCACCAGCTCTTCCACAGAAAGCTACACGGCCGTTAACCAGGCCCAACTCAATGCAGTAACCTCATTAACACCCCCTTCCTCTCCGGAGCTCAGCCGCCACCTCGTAAAAACCTCACAGACTCTCTCGGCGGTGGATGGCACAGTGACTTTGAAATTGGTGGCCAAGAAATCTTCCCTCAGCTCCATGAAAGTGAGTGTAGCGGCAGCAACCGCGGGGACAATAAAGAGCGGGCAAAGTGACAGTGAACAAGGAGGACCAGGACTGGAAGCATCTCCAGAAAACAAGAAGAGGGTTCACCGCTGTCAATTTAATGGGTGCCGGAAGGTTTATACAAAGAGCTCCCACTTAAAGGCTCACCAGAGGACTCATACAGGTACTTGTGTAGGATGCTTCTTTCATCTTGTCCTCCTGCCACCTAACCGTAACCATCTCCTTTCATTTTCATTTAGAAAAGAGAAAAAAAATCTCTTCTGAAAAGTCCAAGCCTCTATCTATGAAACAGGGCAATGGAAAATTATGGCAGGCCAGCAAATATCTCCTCTTTTCAACAGAATGGAGGAATTCGTGGTCTACCATCAATGCATTGAGTTTTCATGTGCCTTATGGGGCTTGATGGAGAGTAATTTTAGGATACTTAAAGGGTGGAAGATGTATCATTTATTGTAGAACTGTGGGCATGCCAATTTCGGTTTTCTGCATTCAGTTTCCCAAGACAGCTTTAAAAATGTTAATTTTAGTCAAGTGTTAATTGCTTCAAATGGAAAATACTGTGGGTAGGTTTTTGCTGCTTTTTGTGTAGGAGAAAGGAAAAAGCATATTTCAGTTTTGAGATATGCAGTTTAGGAATAATGTTTGTGTGAGAGGAAGCTTGTGTAGATGCAGATGTGTGCATACACAGATGCCGTACCCTTGAGATCTCACTATTTTGGGCTACACTAGTGAAGAAATACAGTGAGAACAAATGGGAGAAATGCATGGAGTTTGGATGGAGTAGTAGATAGAGAGGGAATAGGATGTATGGAAAGATACCAGGCAGTTATTTTGGATAGTATTGATTAATGATGCATATAAGCTTTACTGTGTTAGTGTCTTGAAGCATAGCAAATTGGCTTCAGTTTGGCTGTTCAGCATCCCTCCTCTCCTGTCGTTTGTTCACAGTCCCCAGTAGCTTTTCGGCTGGCATTCACTGGCAGTAATAGCCGTGCAGCTTGCTAGCGTTGCTGCTTTGTTCTAAGTCTCACATGTGAGATGATAAATTCCCATTAGCACTATCTTATCATGTGATTATTCTTGTTTCCAGAGGGATTGCTGTAATCAGTTTTCTCAATTTTACTGTAAAATGTGTGGTCTCCTACAATAACTGCACATTTAATTCACGATCTTATCATGCACGCAGATTCCTAGAAGCGAGGTGGTTCTTGCAAGGTAGAAAATAACATGTTGGACCGGTGCAGTAAATCAAACAAATGTGTCGGCTGTTAAGAGAGCTGCATCCATCATGTACTAGGCAGCACTGTAAAAGTTACATGGTCTGAAGTATAAATCATATTAAGACATAAAGGCATTGTTTTTGATCTTTTAATATGTGCTTTCTAGTGCTTTTACTGGAGATAGCCACCTTACCAGGAGTGACCTCTCTTGCAATTCTGTGATTTCAAAGCCAGTGAAAATAGTGCTTTCATTTTAAAACCTGCAGTGGTACAATCAGGAGGCTCCTTGTGCTGCCAGTGCTGCTGTGAGGGTAACCACAGAGACACAGGCTCCACCAGGGCTGCCCAGGTGGATGTCCCAGAGGAAGCCTCCCTGTGAGCCAAGGGCACATCTATCCTTCCTGGCATACGTTTGGCACGATAACCTGTCTGTTCAGATGTGGCCCCTGCGTTCCTCTTCAAGCTGCAAGTGACAGTCTTACACGGCTGTTCCTGAAGTTAGCCAAGGATGTTCACCTAGGTGGATAAACTTGTGGAATTTCTATGTTCTTATCACCCAGCAGGTGGCAATGGGGACAAAGAATCCTGAGAAAACTGTTAGCCACTCTTGCAAGACCTCCACCCTTTGATGTCAAAATCACACAAGATTTTGCATGCTTTTGAACCCATCCTTAGGTCTGGTCAAATTTTGTGTCCTTCCCCTGGCTAACATCAACATGTCATGTCTTGTGCTTTACAGTTATTCCATGATAAGAAACATTTCTCACTAACGTCATGATACTTTCATAGAATAGCCTTAGACTGCACACAGTGCCATTGTTGTGTCTGTGTCCATCCATCCACAGCAGTACTCAGCATGGTATGGGCAAGTCCATTTGCCAGCTGATGGGGGAGACCTATATTGGGATGAAGGCACTGCCCTATGTGGATACAGCACCCATCACTTCACATAGTGGGTTCTGCTCTCTGCCTAAGCTTGCTGGTTAAACCATGAGTTTAGCCAGTCTGTAAACTATTTACTGGTATGTGGAGTTGTTCTTGATTTCATCCACTAAGTTCAAGAGAGGCAGCAAAGGTTGTTAAGGAAAAACAGGAAAGTAGTAGAAGAGAGGCAAGACAGAAATCCAGAGGAGGAGCCCTCCTCTTTGCAGCCAAATAAGCATCCTATACTCATTTACATCCCAGCTGTCCACAGCTGTGTAGAAAACATGGTTTGATTTTGCAGCATGGACTTGATGCATCGTCGTTGTTAAACTCTTTGCTACAGGTGTTGGGAGCTGATAGGAACCTGACTCCCATTGCACACAGAGGAAAGTTCAAAGTATCTGAGCAATCTGAGTAAATGCTGGGGAGTCGTGTGATAGGACTACGTAACTAGCTTATTTGGGTCCAAGCACAAAGTCATTTAGATCCCTTTGTCCCGTTTCAGTGCTCTGTTCCTTTGATATCACTAACAGCAATCAGAATGGCATAGTCAAGACATTACGTCTTTTTACTCTGACCTCTGCAGTGGGGTTACCTCACAGGGAGCTCTGGAGCTTCCTGTAGAAGAGAGGTACAGAGGGGGCTAGCTGTGGAAATTTGGGATTGAACTGTAAATGGCAGGGCTGCTTCCTTTCCCATGCGCGCCTTCGGCAATGGGGACAAGCAGCCCTGTTCTCCATCAGTGCTTTGTTTTTTTGTGGCCGGCGAGCCGTGTGTCCTGTGAGTTTTGAATGCACCCAGCAGTGCCAACAGCTAGTAGCCACTAGGCTTAGTTAGTGGCTGAGCCAGGGGGTCTGAAATGATTGCAAGATACTTTCCTTTGGCTGGTAGCTTGTTAGTATGTCAGGAGGGAACAGTCTGCCAGTGTGGGCTCTTTGCAAGTGGGCATGAGCGCTCCGACAGACAAAAAGCTCTCAGTGTGGGGCAGGGAGGCAGATGTGGGCTGGTCACACAACTTGCATGTGCACTGTCTACTTGCTGGATGAAAGGGATTTACTGCCACGCATGAAAACAAGAAAGCCACAGGCCGGGGAGCTGCGGGGTGGAAGGCAGCGGAAGGAGGTTGCATTCCTTTCGTTCATACGTAATGCTGACCAGACAGAGGCTGGCTGGCCTTCCTCACAGCAGGATGAGCCAGACGGGGCTGGAGGCAGTGCAAACTGATAGCAGCTCGCTGGGTAGGAACCCGGCTTCTGCGGCTTCGCTTCACTGGAGAGCCGAGACAGTCAGATCCCACATTGCTTGTGGTGCTGTGCAAGCCTCTCTAGTTGTACTCCTGTATCTCATCCATTCAGAAATTAGGACAGTTCTGTAAGGCCCATCAATGGTTGAACTGGTTATGAAAACAACTTCTCAGTGACCTTTGGAGAGGGAGAAACAATTATCTTTCTGGGAGAGAATTTAATCTGGAAGGGAAAGGGGAAACATTGTCTGGGTGAAATGGGAAATCAAAACATTCGATTGGATTCGAAGAAGTCTAGAGCACCTAAAGTGAAGGATGTGTAAAGGAGCTAGGAACAGTGTCAGGACTGTCTGCCTGTCTGTCAGAGGGCAGCAAAGAGGTCATGCCGGGGTGAAGTGGTGGCTGTGCTTGTAAACAGGAGCGGTAGGATTGGAAAGGCTGTGCTGCCAGCATGGGGATGAAGGAAAAAAAAGCCTAGCAAAGAAGCCACTGGGGCTGGCACTGTAACCCAGCTCTAACACATTCTCTCACACTTATTCATAGAGCAGACATCAGTGTCTCCTTTAAGAGACAGGAATTCTAGTCCAGTCTTCACACAGGCATGGAGATGAATTGCCAACATAATGGAGAACAGAGAGGAAGGGAATTAGCGTGAGCCAAAGAAAATGTGTAGTCATCAGTACTTCCTAAATTAGAAAACAGGATATTGCTGGTGAGTATCTGGATGCAAATATGTCTAAGGGGGAGCTGACCTGTGACCTATGGACAGATTAGTCATGAGGAAGTCGCTGATTCCCTTGGATCAAAGACCTGTGGAAGAGATTTCTATCTCCTGACCAAACAGCTCACATCAGCTTTCCTTGCCATAATGTACAGGGGAAGGTATGAGGGGACATGGATGCTTTATGGCCAGAGATAAAGCATCATGTATAATCTAACCAGGAAATCCTGAAGATTGTGGTAATGATAAAGAGCGACTCCCAGAGCATCCTGGGGTTTGCATTTTGTGAGGATCAGGTTTTAAGTTTTTTTTAGTTTACACACCTAAAACCAGGATATCTGATATAGCCTCAAATTAACTCCAATTAACGTAAGTTTGCCACCTCACATCTTTACTTAAGTTTCTTAAGCAGGAGATGCCCACATAAACAGATAGTAGTAGTCTACATACTGTCTTAAGATAGCTCTTATTTAAGTGGAGTTTACTTCACGTTGTCATGACATCTTATTTTAAATTATGCAGTTCTTTGATCCAAAGTGCTGGGTGAGAGTAAGCAAAACAAATAAATCCACCGTGCAGGAAAACACATTACTATGTTTGAAAGAAAAAGACAAGAGGTACACAAGAGTATTAGAGCATTAAAGAAAGGAAGGATTTTAAGGTGGGATTTAAAATGACAGAGAAGAGTTTTCCAACATTGCTGGGGCTAGAAGTGGAAGTGTCAAGAATTCGGAAATGAAAGAATTGAGGTGGGAAGGCTGGATGATAAATGAAGAAGATTAATTTGAAGTGAAAGAATAATAGAGAATATGAAGACTCTATGCATCAGTGATAATCCATGGATGGAAGCTGCAGTGCTGTGTTGTGCTGATGAGGTGGCTCTGGTGAACAGAGGGCCAAGGATGAGAAAGAGAATACAAGTGGCCACACAAAGCACTAGTTCTGCAGAATGCAAGCTTCTGAATAATGAGTAAGGGAAAAACGATTGGGAGAAGAGTATATCTAGAGCAGGAGGACTAATAGCCAGGGCCCGGGAATTTTTGGTGTACAGCAAG